ATTTTAATTCCTACCAAATATGGACGTATCGTTAGTGTTCTCTCATAAAATGATGGAAACTAACTCGATATTGGAATAATAAGTTGAGGACTAATTGTGTAATTATCTTATTTCTGTATAAATAAAATCAAGCGTAGACGTCTAATTATTTTAATACATAAAACATGTCGGCAAAATAATTTATTTTATTTAACTCGGGCTTGTGTAGTTTATATTGTAAATTTGTAATTTGTAGCAGAGCATAAGGAAAAATTTTGAGAGTGCTTTATGATTTATATTAGAAATTAATTCTAATAAAACTTTGGTGCATGCTTTGGCTAAAAGTAAAGATTAAAGATCTTTGTGCAATTAAAATATAGGGACTGTTTGATACAGATTCTCATTTNTTTTTTTTTTTTTTTTTTTTTTTTGCAATAGAAACAAATTATATCCCCAATTGAGAAAAAAAAAAAAAAATTATCTCTTTAATTGACAATTTCATGTAAAATAAAGTCAAACAAACGCCAAAAATTTTTCAATTTTTTTTTTTGGCAATCGAAACAAATTATATTCCCAATTGTAAGAAATTATATCTCTTTAATTGACAATTTTTATGAAAAATAAAGTCAAATGAACACCAAAAGATAGAAAATTTCAACATTTCATGGAAAATTATATCAATCAAACACAATTAATTGACAATTCCTAATAAAATAAATTTTAGACAATTTTCTATCATTCGTTTTTTTTCCACCCAAATTTCATCTTTAAATCAAACGGATCCTTCAAGCTTTTCTCGATCCTTTACAGATAAGAGAGGTGAACAACCACCATAAACAATTCGAGACAGTCCCATATGGACATGATTGACAAGTTTTTCAGTTAGGGTGTCTTTTCATTGTACGTAATGTCAAAGATAGGTAAAGATTATAAAAATTTATTATTTACAATTTAAAATACTGTAAACAAATATATTATATCAATTTATCATATTTTAATACATAGAGCTTGTTTAGTAGTGATTTTAATTCAATTAAAATTGAAAATATAGCAGTTATTGGGTCTCATCCGTCTAATAAAAATAAAAAATAACGACTATATTTTCAATTTTAATCTAATTTTAATCCCTCCCAAACAAACTCATAATGTATCTACTCGCATCCACGTATTCAAACTACTATGACTTCAAAGCCACCGACTCCAAGTACAACTCAAAAATGCTTAAAGCAAAAAATATGTAAAAAATTGAATAATGCTACTTTGCCCGAAAAATGTGACGTAATGGTTGAGAAAATAAGTGTTGACAAAATGTGATTGGTTGAAAAAGTTGACTGTGTTTTAAACAATCTAATGATAAGTTGCCATGTGGCATTATGTCAACCATATGTTCTTGGAGCATGATCGAAAAAAATTTCACATCATATTTCAAGTTAAGTAATTTTAATTTGAATTTTGATCAATCGCATGTTTTCTCTAGAGAGGGTGAGCACTTGAATGCACAAGAGCATATTTGAAATTGCACATAGCATTGGAAATATGTGAGTGGGGTGGGTGGGGGTATATTTTAACTACATAAAAGAAATTTAAATAAAAAAAATAGGATTTCTACTTGTACATCACAATATGTACATAAAGGTATACACTCTTCACATGGGGTGGGACCCACTTAGATAAAATATTATTTTATTTAAATGGGTCCCACCCCCATGTGAGGGGATGAATACCCTTATGTACAATGTGATGTACAAATAGCAATTCTCTAAAAAATATATACATGTTCTCGTGGTCTCTCGTATCTCAATAAGTTTGGCTTACTGAGTTTTTTACATGGAATTCTATAACTTTGAAATCACTTCATATAAAAGTCTAGGACAATGATCTATTAGTCCCCACATCTAGTGACTGAACAAACATCCGATGAATCGTGAAGGTATCCCGTATTGGCTCCACTGACTGATGGTAGTCGGTCGTTAAACGTCCGTCCAAGCTTAGATTTATTTCAAATTTGTCGTTGTTCATTTCTCAATAAGTTTAAAATGATAATGTAAAAGGTAAATGAATAACATCAAGGAGTGATGTATTTAAGCCTCAAACAAAAACCGTACTTTAATTTAATTGGGACTCGATCAATTCAAATTCGGCAGAACTCTTAATATATCATGAAAACTAGTTTAATTTGAGATCTTATTTATTCATTGAATTGGAGTAACACCTTGTTTGGTACATCTTAAAATCTTGTTAAAAATTGAAGTTAAAGTGAACAATTAATTTTAAATATTCACAATTTTTAAACCACATATTTTATGAACTTTTATCGAAATTGATTAAAAATCTATTTTTTTTAATCTATAACAAACAGGGACTAAGTAAATTTGCTTTTCACTTAGAACGTGCTTATTTACTTCCACTTCAATCCTATAATAAAAGAATTATATCACTTTAGCAACACCTGTCTTTAAACAAAGCTTTATATGATAAATTAATTGACAAAAACCTGTATTCTTATCCTCATTGATAATACAATATATCATAACAGGGTTGCGTGATTCACGTGAAGTTTCAGCTGTGCTTTTAATTATCAATCGTGAAAAAAAAAATTTGACATGGAATTTAGCCCATAAATAAAAATTAACTTTTAATAAATAATGATACAACGAGAAGGTTATTCCTCGATTAATGGGGAAACGTGACGGGTACGAGTAGCGGTGGCAAAAAAGCTCGGAGGCTCGGGCCGAGCTCCACTTTAGGGAGTCAGCTCGAGCCTGGGCCGGCCAGTGGCCCGGGCGAGCCTCCTATTTATAAAAATAAATAAATAAATAAAATTTGAAGGTGGCAGCTAAGAAAAAAACCAAAAAATCCGAGCCTCATTTTTTTTTTGTCGGGCTCGGCTCGGGCCAAAAAAAACTGGTCCAAAAAAGTTCGGGCTCGACTCGTTGACATCGCTAAGCACGAGGCTAAAATGGCAACCCCTATATAAGTAAATTTATTTTTATAAAATTTTATATATTAACAGAACCATAAGGTCATCTCCAGTGCTGCACCAAATTTTGCACCAAATCTTGCACCAAACTAAAATTCATCTCCAAAAGTTACATCAAATGAACAATATTTAATCATTTTCGTGTCTTTTTTTCTTAGTAATTTATTTATTCGAAATATTATTTATTTTATAAATACATATATTATTAAATAAATAATTATGTTAAATTAAAGAAAATATTAAATTCATTAATAAATATAGTATTAAAACATAGTACAATTAGTNTATTTTAAATGTAAATAATAATAATCCTTAATAATTGTATTAAAAATTATATAACACAAATGACACAAATACCCTCAAACAATTCTTTTGACAAAATGAAAAATGGGCAAATTGGACTTTGCACCATTTTGGTGTTTGTGCAACACTATTCACTTTACACCAAAACTCCAAAATGATGCAAAATTTGGTGCCACATTTGAGCACTGTTGCACCAAATTTTGATACATTTCGGTGTTTTTGTGTCTTCATTGGAGATGCCCTAAGCGGATATTTGGAGTTCCTCGCTCCAACCCTCATAAGGCGGGACGGGGAAGGAAATTCTAGTCTAGAACTAGTCCCATTGCTATCTCTTGCAATTTGACTTATTAAATTTACATTTTAGCATAAAATTAATTATTAAGGTAGTTGTGATTCCCGTTTCATATAAACTCAATCTTACAAGTTAAAAGATGCAATTATTGCATAATTGAATAATCAAAATTTCAATTTTACCACTGCAAAATTTGATAGAATACCCGTGATGCGCACGGTTTTTTTTTGTATGGACTCCTCTTGATATTAGTTCGTTGAGATAGTGCGACATAATTAAAATTTGGACCTTTTGACACAAAATTAGTGCTATTCAAATTCAAATTTGAATGCAGTCGAAGTCATAATTTATTTTTTAAAACTTTAAGTTAAAGAATAATGTTATTCATCTCCACTGAGATTGAATCCCAATTTACGTGACAATTACATGTCATTAAATGATAGACTTGATTAAATGAATGTATCATTTAATGTCACGTAATTGCGACATAAATTGGAGTTCAATCTCAGTGGAGATGAATATCATTACTCTATGTTAAAATATGTACTAAGTACATAATTGATAATTCGACAACTAATGAAGTGCGTTTATCTCTATAAAAAAGGTATGTCTCGAGGTGTGAAGCAGCAAAGAAGGGACGTCATAATTCGTGTGACCAGAATGCTGATGACCAAACTGAAACAAAATTGAAATTCAGTGATAAAATTAAGAATTAAAAACACTAGTGACTAAAATGAAGTTTTAATCAAAGTTAGGGACCTTCAATGTTTCCCCTTACGCCAGCACCGCACACACGTTTCCTCCTGTGTATAGATTTCAAACACCCCTGATGAGGGCCCTATATAATGTGCGCATGAACCCATTATTATTCTGGCCATAATTTGAGAGATATCTAAGAGAAGTAGAGTAGAGAATGTCATCTTCTGTGGTAAAATTTGCTTCTCAAGACAGTAATCATGAAGAAGGGAATCAAGAACTGTTTGATATGATCCACACAGGTGATCCAACGGCTCCAAACATCTCACTCCCAGCCGAGACTTTTCTCAAAGCTGCAATCTCTCTCAAGGACCAGGTATAATCAGTATAATAAATTAGATTTGAACTTATTGACGCGGGTTAATTCGGATGGAAAAGCGATTATTTGCTCTGTACACTGTAAAACTTTTTGTGGGTTTGGATTGTGGGTGTGAAATTCTTACAAAAATATAATTAATTAGCTTATTTTTGGTTTAACACCGCCTTGATTTGGATCGACAGCGATTGTTTCCTGAGTACGATGTTTTCTGGGTTTGGATTATGAGTGTGAAGTTGATGAAATTCTTATGAAATCAGGTACTGGAAGTGACGTGGAAGAGTCGGGGCAGTTATGGGAGCTTGGACCCGACTGTGTATACGGGTCTTCTGGGTACGGCTTTCACCTGCTTGAGATCTCATGAGGCCACCGGTAACCACCGAGACCTGCAATTGTGCGTCGAGATCGTGGAAGCCTGCGCTGCCGTGGCTCATTCCTCTACTAGGTGGAGTAATTTTTTTTTTATTAATAATGCCGAGTACTTTTTAATTTTTAATTATGAATATTGATTTAACTGAACAAAGATTCGAAGAGAGAAACGGATGTTTTGTAATGGATAACATTATTTAAGGGTTAGGATTTTAGAATCATATGTATTGGCCTTTAAAAATTGTGTTGATTGTTCCAGTAATAGACAAAGAGATGCCAGTTATGCTAGGAATGTTTGACTATATGACCATCTAATGGCACTGTGGATTTCATATTCTATTCAAGATTTAGGTGTTTGTTTTTGATTTGAGAATCAAATCAATTCTCATTTTTAACCGCACATTCTTCAATAAAATAATATTTTCCATCACATCAATACTTTTTTCTTCTTTTTCAACCACACATTTCTAATCATATCACTATTCAAAAATCAATTCTTCCCCAAAAAATTCCTACTAAACACACTCATAGTTAGATTAACCAAAAAAAAAAAAAATATTGTTAAAAAATTTAAAAATTTACCAATAAAATTAGTTAAATCAAACAAAATGCTAATTATAAAAAACAAGTCGCAAATATTATATTATGTAACACTTTAAATACCAAGTTTTTAAACTTTTTTTTTTATTTCTAAGAGTTAAGTTACTATTTCGTTTTCATTTAAAAATTTAACCCTTGTTTATCTCTATTTCTCAAACTCACTTTTCCTCAAATTCATTTTTAACTACACATTTCATGGCACTGACAACTTTTGTCAATCACTTCACCAAATTTATTTAAAATTTACTAAAAAACNCATTTCAAGGCACTGACAACTTTTGTCAATCACTTCACCAAATTTATTTAAAATTTACTAAAATACTAATTTTTAACGGGTTAATTTCACAAAAGGTCACTGAACTTACCTAAAAATTATAAAACGGTCACTGAAGTTTTAATTTGTTTTGCAAACGGTCACTGAAGGACCGTTATGATTTTAATTCAAGCTTAAAGGACCAAAACACGTGGACATAGAAGCTTGACCACCTTTGGAGTTTCGAATCACCACCTTCCGGCCACCAAGACCATCGGATCCAACCACCAATCGTCAGCCACAAAACATCAGAAATCAGCAGAAAATTAAGCCCAAAAATCCCATCTCATGAACTCCTTTTCTGCCAGAAAACCCACATCCGGCAACACACATGTTAATAACACCCTACATGTCGCTCAAGCTCAGCATGGCGCATCCATACATGGTCCTATTACATCAAATAACATAGAAAATCTAAATCTACAGCAGAATTTCGAATTAGCAAACTCATGGACAACAATCACATTTTCCAACGAATACAGTGGTCCCCCATGATCGCGGACCACATATTCTGGCATCCTCCCTTCATGGAGCATCTACTTCAACCACTGGTCATCAGTGATTTGGGCTAAATGTGGAAGAACGGGCTAGGATGCAAGGCAGTCTGTTTTGTCCTCCATCGATTGAGGTTTCTACACTACCCCAATCATCAAATTCGGTCTTAATACATTCAATTCAAGTTGGTAATACACTGGGTTTTCCGGCAGAAAAGGAGTTTGCGAGATGGGAGTTTTGGCTTGATTTTCTGCTGATTCCTGATGTTTTGTGGTTGACGGTTGGTTGGAGGTTGTAGATGAGAGTGAGGCGAGACTAGTGGTGGTCGGATCTGGTGGTCTTGGTGGCCGAAAGGTGGTGATTCGAGGCTCCAAATGTGGTACTTAATAGCAAGAAATTTGCACTTGAGGTAGTCAAGCTTCTATGTCCACGTGTTTTAGTTCTTTAAGTTTGAATTAAAATCATAACGGTCCTTCAGTGACCGTTTGTGAAACAAATTAAAACTTCAGTGACCGTTTCTGCAAATTTTAAACTTTAGTGACCGTTTTGTAATTTTAGGTAAGTTCAGTGACCATTTGTGAAATTAACCCAATTTTTAACTAAATTAAATATGAACTCAATTTTACTTCTTTCGCATTCATTTATCCCCCCATAATTAACATTCGGTCAAGCTTTTCATTGCATAATGTACATAATCTTGTTTTCTATTTTCATTTTTGTACAAAGTTATATGTTTTTCTTCAATATATTAATATATTCTTCTCTTATGTGAAGCTTCCTTGCAAAAAGGAAAAAAATGCATTTACAATAGATACCAATAACTTAGAGATACATTCTTGATAATTTATTAAGCTGCTAATTACACCAACTTAAAATTTGTAAAAAAAAAAAAGAGAGAGTTTTAACTAAAAATTACACCTAATTATATCGAAACTATTTTAATAGATTTTTATTTTATTCGTTGAGCAAAATTATTAATTAGAAATAAAAATTAATTTTTAAACAATATTAGAAGAGTCGAATGAAGTATCTTCTATATTTTAATATGCTATTAACAAACTAATTTTTTTATTAATTTGATATTAAAATGATAAAAAAAAGATAATATATTTTATAAATCTCGCACAAAAATAAATTCATCTTTTAAAGAAATAACATTTAATGAAAAATTAATAATTAGAAATGATATGTAAAATGTTACATAAGTTAATACAATATAGGGTGTGGTTTGTTATTTAAATTAATGATATTCTTGTGTATTCAGCTATTTATAAATTAATGACATTTTTTTTCCTTTTATCTATTGCTAGCTAACCCGATATTTGTATTGTACAACACAATTTTTTTCAGTACTTAGGGTGTGTTTGATGGATATTATTAAGGAAAAATGTATTTTAAATAGTGATATGATGGAAAATGTGTAGTTAAAAGTAAGGAAAAGTTATTGATGTGATGAAAAATATTATTTTATTGAAAAATGTGTAACTGGAAATAAGTTTTGAAAAATTGTATTTTGAAAGAATGTGTGCCAAATAAGGGCTTAACAATTAGCACGAGAAAAATGTGAGCCCCGTTTGAGCCACATTATTTTTTTTCATTCTTATTTTTCAACTCATTTTCAACCATACATTTTGCAATAAAATAATATTTTCCATCACATCAATAATTTTTCATTCTTTTTCAATCACATTTTCCCCATCACATCAACAAAAAAATAAAAAATAAAAACTCTTGAAGCAAAAATGTGCACCAAACAGAGGCTGGTGCGTTATTCATAACTATTTTATTCTACGGGTGATGATAATTAGTGCTTGTTTGTCTCCCATTTTGGGAGAAGAAATATAGTTTTGAATAATATTTTTTTGGAGAATGTGTGGTTGAAAAGTAAAGTAATTTTATTGATTTGTGTGTAGAATATTTTATTGAGTGAATATGTGGTGGAGATTGTTTTCTATAGCAAACAATGTTTGATAAAATGGATGACAAACAGAGACTTATAATAAGAAGAAATTTAAATGTAAATGTTCTGTATACGTTGCTTTAATATTAATAATCTTATTTTTAAAAATTTAAACTTTTAAAAAAAAACTATACTAATTTAAAAAGTTGCATCCAACATTAAACTATTTAGTATTTAGCCTACGTGCATGAGTCAACGAAAATGCAAATATAATAGTTAATTTGAGATAATACAAATTCAATTTGAAAATTATCGATATTTCTAATCAGGTAGGTACCTACATAGTTCAATTTATTGATTTCAACCATAGAATTATTCTCCGTGTGACTTCTTTTTATTACTTAAAAAGGAACGATAAACTAAAATTTTAATTAATAAAATATAAATTATTTTAATTTCTTTAGGAATGTTGTCATTTATCATATTACAAGCCTGTTTGGTACAGATTCTCATTTTCTACAGTAAATCAATTCTCATTTTCAACCACACATTTTTCAATAAAATAATATTTTCTATCACATCAATGCTTTTTTCTTCTTTTTCAATCACACATTTCCCATCATATCACTATTCAAAAATCAATTCTTCCCTCAAAAATCTCTACCAACATATAACGAAACGTCATTTTCCATCCACGTTGTATATGATAACAACTATAGATATGCACCATATACTTTTATTTATTTTAAATTCAAATTACAATAGGTAAGTTATTATTATTGTTAAAAAATAACAAACACAAAATATAAGGGCATGTTCTCCTTACCATTTTCAAGTCGTTTTCTATTTTTGATTTTTTAAAATAGTGAAAACGTGTTCTCTTTCCTATTTTCAAAAACGCGTTTTCGAAAATAAGTTAAAAATTTACAAAGAAAACTCAAAACGACAAATTTGCCGTTTTTGGTGTTTTCAGTTATAATCAAATCAAAATTTTCAAAACCTGTTTGGGTATTTTCAAAATGCCAAAAAGAACACATTTTCAACAATCTCAAAATGGACACTCAAAACACAAAACTCAAAATAAATTCAAAACTCAAAACACAAAATTGAAATGCAAAAATAACAGCCTCTAAACTTTGGAGGGAGATATGAGACTTGTCCTCAACTAATGAGTTAGTGGTCAAAAATAAAATATTTTTTTTTCTAAATTTCGTTTACCATTATTATGTTCCTCGTCATGCATCGCGTTAGGTACTTTGTTGTCTCATTGTCACTTTCCTAGTTACTTCAGTCGATGGAATAAGCTAAATTCGGTCCAAAACCAATCTTAAATATATCCCACCTTTCTCCAATATCGCAGCCGGTAGAAATGTTTATAAACTTCAAAGTCAATTAAAGAGAAGTGAAGTATTGTTTTTTATGCAAGAGGAGAAGAAATTAAGAAAAAGAGACTCTCGATAAATTTCAATAGTTGTCACATCGGTACATCCCGTGAAGCATGACATACCAAACATCCGGTAAAAAGATACTCGTACTTAGTTAAATAAAGTAGTTTCGGTTGAAAATCTAGTAGCACGATTCATTGTACACCCCAAAAATGGAGTCTCGAAATAGTAAGTAGATAAACTAGTAACAAAATGGATAGCAAGAAGAGTTAAAGATAAAATTTAAATAAATAAAAAATTATTTATATCCTTTAAATGGCGTTTATACATAAGCCAATTTAACGTGATAACGAAACAACACATCAAATTCAAATTTAGTCGCCATCCACTTATGAAAATTATAGATGTATCCTCCAAAAAAAAAAATTAGGTGACTATATTCCTATCGCGAGATATTTCACCTATTCGATAGGTGTTGTCTATAAAGATTTTGAGGATGAATGCGATCTCCTAGAAGTTTTAGACCTAAACATCAATGACGACTTTTATGAAGAATAAATATGCATTTAGTTGAGCTATCAAGTGTATGATAACGAAAGCTCACTC